ATAATAATAATTATTATTATTATGTCACTGTTTAAATAATTTAGATTTGGATAAAATTGTTTAATTCATTTTAGTTCTATGACGTCATCGAATGACTGCTATTAGCATTGATAAAATATAATAGTGCTATCACCACAGTTGCCGTAGAAAATAGAATAGTTGCATTTTAACTATGCTGTTTATTACTTTGATTTCTTAGAAGAAGTAAACAAACCTAGCGTTTTCTAGCTTTTTTTTGGTACAGTGGGACTTTTTTGAAGGTTGGACTATGTGGATTTATCATGGAACGAACTTCGGACTATTAGACGGACGGATTTGAGCCCGTCGATAAAAGTTCTCGTATTGGACGGTAACCCGTGGCGTTGCGATTGCCACCTGAGAGACTTCGTCGAGTTTCAACGGGCCACCTACATCACCAGATCGCTAGAATGTGCTGAACCGAACGTATTGAAAGGCAGCAACTGGAACGATCTGTTGCCGCTGGTTGAATTTTTTCATTATTACCACATATTTTATAAACAGACATAAATTTCCTTTTATTTTTCATAACCCATCCTAATTCAAAAGTGCCAAAAAACTGTGTCATGAGTTGCCACTTAAGGATTTTTAAAAAATCACTTTTTTATCCTCCTCTTCTTTGTTAAGCTCTTTTTTTTCTGAGGATCAGTTTTCAGTAAATAAGCAAACCAGCAGCAAGAAGAGCCGACTAATGTCAGCTATGCAACAGATTTATTGCGTCAAAAAAAATTAATTTTACTTGAGCTTGTACTTTCAGCGCAAGTTTTATGACATATTTTGTTGCTGACCTCGAATCGCCAGCCTATGACCTTTTAGTTAAACACCCTGTCAAACTGTTACACTAAGTAAACTTTGAAATAGCTTCTTCTTTTGTTTATTTGGTTGTAGAACCAAGTTTTTTGTTTGGATTTAATTTTTATAACAGCAGCTGAAAATTTGCTGTACTATTTTTTGGTTAGTCGAAGCCTTTACAACTCGAAACAAGTTTCTAAGCAGCGCTAGACCAAGTTGTGCAGAAGATCAACATTCTTTATTCTTCAACTATAATTTTGCAATAAAGCATGGAAAGAATTATCGCACTGTCTTGGTGTCAAATAATTTCTATTTATAGATTTACCGTACTCTCATCTGTCTCAACAAATTTCTTTCTTTTGTAAAATAAGGCTTAACTGAGTTAAGTAAAAAATTTTTTGAATGTACTCAAGTGTTGCACGTTTAAGGATTTTGCATGTGGCCCATATGTTGAAGGACCGTTTCTGAATGATCTGACAATAGCGGAAGGTGACACATTCTCCTTGACTTGTACAGCATCTGGCGATCCAATACCGTTAGTTCAGTTTAAGAAAAGTAACTCTAAAGAGCCAATTGCTTCTGTTTCTCAGAGGTTGACGGTTAATCAGTCTTCTCATGGTAATTCAACGACCAAAGTGCTGGAATTTCAAAAAGCTTTGTACGTTTTATTTTAGTTTTGTTTTCCACATGAAATTATTCTAGTTTTTTATAAAAGGAATTATTTTACAGTCATTGTAATTTGAAAGAATGCTCATTTATCTTCACTTTTCTAGTGTTTAAAAGCAAATTAAATTCTTTTTTTTTTTCTTTTTTGCTGGAGAATTTTCATAGGGTTGCGAAAAAACAGAGACATGAGTACTAAAAAAAGCAGAAGCGATTAAATACCACTTTGGTGTAAGCTGCAGTGCAAGTTCCATTTGCTTATCTAGGTTATACGTTGCAATTAAAATAGTACTTTCTTCCTCCTCAAACCACTCTTTATGTAAGCAAAAAAGAGTTTTTTGTACTGCAATTTTTACAGTCTTGTTATGTTGATCCAACTTTGCATTCAGTACCATAAGACGCTACGACGCTTTTTTATACTAGCACTTTATTTCGCTTGTGAACTTTGATGCTGAGCAATAGTATGTAAGTTGAAAAAAAAAGACAGTCAAAAAGTGTTAGACATAATTGAGAAATAAAAGTTCAAAACAAGCAGAAAAAAGATTATTTAGAAAGAAGTAAGTAAAAATGCAACCAAACGCATTGGTATCAAAACAGAACTGGGAGTCACCAAGCAAAAACCACACTTGAAACTTAAAACTGTTAAATGGTGGTTGGGAAGTTAGGCAATTTCTTTTAGTTTTAGGAGGCTAACAGAAACGATTTTTTTATCGTAATGCCTTTTCGCCACCAACTTAAAAAATTTTCAAAATTTTTATTAAGCGGGCAATAAATTTGAACATAGAGTGCAAAAATAAAAAATGCATAGCCTTGGTAAATTTCTGTCAGAATTTACAATTTTAGTTTATTCAATAATCTTCAAACACTTTCAATTTTCTTCTTGTTTTTTTGGTTTTTTATACCTTTTTTTTGCTTTTTTCCATCTTTATAAACAATATTTTGCTTAAAATTTTCTTTTCAGCTTTTTTCTTTTTTATTATTGAGGATTTTCAGAAGAAAAACATGTTTTATGGAGCAAAAACAACATGCAAAAATGTTGCTTTGTAAGACATTTTGTCAAAATGCAGTCTAATACAATTCAATGAACTGATTTTTAAAAAAAAGCTTTTTTTTACAAAAGATCATTTTTTAATGCTGTAATTTCACCAGACGAGCATAATTGAAAAAAAAAATATAATTGTGGGTGTTTTTAAAGTTAGACATACATTATGCATTACTGTAAATCAAAAAACAAAGAGATACATCTATATACGGAATTTTTTAGGCCATCTGACGCTGGTACTTACTGGTGCTTGGCAAAGACTGGATTGAACACTTCGGCAAGAAGATTTGATATCGAGATACGACCACCAAAAATCAAACCATACCAGCGGACAAAAGCTGATTCTCGTAACCATGATGATAAGGGTTATAAATCCGGTGGAGTAACTTTGTTATTCTCAATGATAACTATAGCACTGATTGTTTTGTCGTTAATGTGCTTCTTTCTTGCCTTGTGCTACAAACATAGAAAAGCAGGTAGTGGAATGGCTAATACGCGCAAACCGTCATTCATTGCTACATCGGGTACGGCGGAACAACAGGATGCTGAGGTCCTGTCTACAAAACAGCTACTTTATGAAGATTCTGTGCATCCAATGTTGATGGTCACAAAGCCCTCAGATTCGGACAGCAATTTGCAGTGTCACAACAACATAACCAGCACTGATACAACGTCCGCTACAGACATTCCGCTGGAAAAAGATGAGTCTGACGACAAAGCAGAAAAGTCAATAGGCAGTCGAACTGATTTATGCCCAAGAAAGGCCCCGTTGGCTCAATATGATCGAGATACATATGTCTTTCCGATAGTACAAACGTCGTTATAAAGCTAGGTTGTCTTAGCGCTTTTAATAATTAACGGGTTTCCCTATAGCTAGACTATGTTCTTTCCTAAATAAAAATCACTTTATTTCAAGTTTTGAGCTACAAGTTTTTAGCATTGGATAACCGAAAATATTAGCTTAAATGTTGAACCTTAAGCTACCTCTACGCTATCGCTGCTATTTTTTTTTTTTTTGCACTGTAAAGATTTACAGTTTTTTGTTCAGCTGGCTAATTGTCAAATGAATATTTGTATTTTTTTGTTTTTCAAAAACTACAGGAAAAAACAGGCAGAAAACAACAAAATTAAAAAGCAGTCGATGTAAATAAAAAAGTATTTGTTTAAGAAATAAAAAATAAACAAAAAAAAATAAAAATTGGCTAGGCATTCTCAGACGTATTATTCTATTATTTGTGAGAATCGATTTTTTGCTGCTGACAAAAATCAATCATTTTTTTGTTCAGTGATTTAAAATGGGATTTTTAACATGTTATTTCTGAAGCAAATCAAAATTTGAAAAAAAATTTAAGCAAAAGTTTAATTGGTGCTGAACTTTTGCAACTGGTGAAAAGACCTTTAACCAACTGAACTTTTTTTCATTAATTGTTGGCTGATGTGTTTACATTACTTGACAGTTCTTTTCAAATGTTTTATGTGTTCTTCAATTATATGTGCATGTTAACAGTTCTCAGTTAGCCTTGTTGAGCAAATTCAACTTTTTCAATCCGGCTGTTTTTTTATTAACAAAGTTATTACTTCTATTAAGATTTTTTCATTATGATTATTTAAAAAGTAAAAGAAAATAAAAAAATAAAAAGAATTGAAACATTCGCTGTGCTTTGATTGATAGCAGTAAAAATCAGCAATAAAGTAACAACCGTTTTTGATAATTGTTGTAATTAAGAGACCGAATAAATGGTCAAAATTCTGTTGAGCGGATTACTGGTTTTTTTTTAGGACTGTTAAAAGTATTCTTTAAACAACAATTAATTAACCACAAATTAAAGGTTTTGATAGATTCATCCAGCAATTCTAACAACTGCTTCCTATTATGCTTCAGTTCAGTAATTTTTTGCTCAGCAGAGTCCACATGTTTTTGGACACTCAACGGCCATGAAACTCCGATATGCCTCTTGGAAACAAAGTGCTGCATTCTGGACGCAGTTACTGGTCCCGTTTGCTCCAACTTTGTCCTTACATGGTGATATTGCTAAAAGTTATATCTATTCTGAACCTTTTCCTTGCAGTTCACGTCCGATAGCAAAATCAGACCTCATATCAACATTCTTAAAGGTTACAAGATTATAAAAGCAGAGACAAGTAAAAAAATGCCTACTGGTGTTAGTTGCACAACGAGAACAAGTTTTAGGACAATTTTCCGTCATGTAATTGTAATAAATATTTTCATAGCATAAATACGCTTTCTCAGCACAGTCACTGGTCCCATTAGCTGGAGTTAAGTCCTCGCACAGTTGTTCTGCTAAAAATTATTTTATTTAGTCATATTTTATTTAGGAAATTCTTATAGCATAAAATAATGATTTTAGTAGCTTATTTTCTAATATCTTATCTAACTCATAGTCTTCTAAGATAGGCAGTTACTCACTGATAGGTGGGCAGCGGTTACAAGTTTTTGGACATTGCTCTGACATATAGTCGTAATACAACGTGCTGTTACATAAGTGTGCCTTCTGAGGACAGTCTGTGACGCCGTTAGTGGTTCGATCGTTGCAGTCAGCTGAAGCAGATGAATAATGGATGCACTTGTGATTACAGAAATGTTTTGAATGAATACAAGCCAAGTAATTCTGTATCAGCCATGTACAATTAATGAATTGATGACTGACTATCAGCTATCGCAAAATGCGAGTGACACAATTAGTTCTTGTAACAGTAAAGAGCAGTTTGACTGACAAAAAAGAGTAGCCATTTACACAATCGAGCTGGTGTAGCTACTGTTGTCGTCGTTGCTTGTGTCGTTCTTACTGTCGGCAGCGCCATCGATGTTGTCATTACTTGTGTCGTTCTTACTATCGGCAGCGCTATCGATGTTGTCGTTACTTGTGTCGTTCTTACTATCGGCACCGCTATCGATGTTGTCATTGTTGTTTGCGTCGTTCTTACTATCGGCACTGCTGTCGATGTTGTCCTCGTTGTAGTCGGTTTAGTGGTTGTATTCGCAGTTGCAGTTATCTTACACACAATCCCTTGATTACCCAGAAACCTATTTGAACAGTCTACTGTCGACCACTGACCTATAGAACCTGCATAATTTACAATTACACATTGCGAAATCGACGGCACTCCCGCCCAATTGGTAAAGTTGACTGATTGGCCATTTATCCACTGCCAGTTAGATCCGGTAGCTCGGAGACCAATCCAGTATTTTAGATTTGTTGCAAATGCTGAAACAATTAGTATTACCGCTATTCTAAAAAGTAAGCAGCTAAAAATAAAAAATCGACTTTTACTGGAAAAGATATTAGAAATTTAGTTGAAAAGTTTACTGTTTAAATAGTTCTGTTCATCTGCGGAATGAATAGTAACCAGAGAACAGTTCTGCATTATTCGAGAACATATATTTGACGCTTGAACATAAGTTGAATTACCTCGCATCTGAAAAGTAATTGATTACCCGTTTTTAAAACCTTCGTGACTAATATACGTCGATATAATAAATAGAACTTATTTTGTAGTAGCAGGAACTGGCATATTCACTCCATAGACTGTTTGGACAAGCCCCTAGATAAAAGGACCAATTTAACTATGGAAGAAATTTTTTAGACATTCTTCATTTTTTCAGAAATTGCAAGCACTGGAAAAGAATTGAATGTTTGGTAATAATTTTTTTTCTAATGAATAACTATTTCGAGCAAAAACTGTAAAGCGTTGAACTAGAAATGTGAAGAAACAATTTTACCTAATGATAAAGTTGGGTAAGTAACGGCTAAAAGTGTCAAAAAGGGTTTGAATATAGGTCTCATATTTTTGCTGAGTAGAGTAATGCCACTGATTAGTACTTCTTATCTTGCAGTTTAGATTAAATAAGCTCCAGTTGCAAAGGTTCCTTGTGGTTTTCCAATTTAAGGTTCTGAAAAACTTTGAAAATAAGTTTTTACAACATTTTTCAAAAGCAAAATCACCGGGAAAGAAAGGTAATACGTTCTTCTCGGTATTTTATACTTCTTCATTCTTAATCACGTTCCTCATAAAGAATTCTTTATGTGCTTTTACTATTTCTTTAAATGGTCTTGGAAACACCCTGGGACTGCCAACTTGAAAAGGCTTTCGAACTGTTTTCGCTCAATGATTACCTCAATCAAAGCTTTTTTTGGTTCTGAATCGTTTCCAAGTAGTGGCCTGCTTTCACTTTCAAGCTTTTTGTTTGAAACTGTTCAAACAACGTGTTATCTGCCTAACGTATGTTCTAAATTTCTTCACTTAACTGTCTGGATTTTCTATAGCAATGTAAGCGACAATTCTAATCTTCCTTTTGCGCCACTTCATCCTAATTTTGTATTCGGTGTTTCATCAGCATTCCAATTCGTATTTTTCTTCGTGAAAAATTCACTTTTTAAAATGCTAGTAATTTTTCGTAGATTGACCTTCTTCAAAAGTCTTTCATTATCAATATCATCAGCTAACATCAAATTTCCGGCTGCGTTAAAAGATGTGAAATATAGCTCTAAAACCGTCAATCTGACTTAAACTTCCACATGTTTACTTACTACAAATAATGATTTGAGCATTGTAAAACCGAAAAAAATAAAAAAAAATACTTTATTCTGCTTTATTTTCCATGATCAAAAAACTATTCAGGTGCACCTTTTTCAACACATTAAGCAAACTATTTTTCGTGAAGTTCTGTTCTACTTTTACTTTTTTCAATTTTTTTGAAAAAAATACCTTCAATAATATATTGTACAAACATTTGTTCATTCAGTGGCCTAAAACGTAAATTTTCAAAGCTGATCTATACTAGTAATTGAATACCAAATTATTTTTGATTAGAATTGTCCCTTTCCTCAATTGTCTCTGATGAGGTTTTATTTTCCAACTGAGTATCATTTGGGAAATGTACTTTATTATGGCAAAACTTGGCCTCACTGTTTTATTTCTTTCCAGGTTACTGACCACTATCTTTCCAATTGATTTTTGAAAAAAAAAAGGCTGTACAAATTGTTCTAACCTGAATGCAAAGACAAAGCTGATAAGTAAGATTGTGAACAATACTTGAACCTGCAGGTCTTAGTGTAAGACTAGAGGATTAAATGGACTTTTTTATAGATTTTTTGAGAAAGTTTTGATAAGCTTAAAATAGTCACATTTATAGAATTCTTCTTCTTTTTTTCTTTTCTCGTATTCTCGAAATATTTCTATCTACCTTCTAAAACATCTATTTATTTTCTTACTACTACTTTTCGATATCTGAATTTGAACAATTGCTTTGCCAACTTGTTTATTTTTGGAAAAAGTTATTTCTGGGGCTTACGCAGTGCGGTTTTACTCAGCTAAATTTTAACTTTTAGTGACGAGGTTAAGTGAGATCTACACAAGAACTTTTGAAGTTAGAACAGCTAGATAGACTAGATTAAATACTTCATATAAAGAAAATAACTTAAGATATGAAAAAAAGACGTTTTTAAAGATAAGTGTTGTAAACTGTAATAATCACTGAAATCACATATACGTTAAAAGTTTTTCAAATAAATAACGTTACTCATATAGCTGTGAGAGCCAGGAAAAAACGACAGACTTAAATCCGCTAAGGTAAAAACGCTCCTATCGTTTTCACGGTCTTTTTTCCCAACGACAGTGACTACTTTTGTTGAACGAGACAACTTCCACGTTGAACGGAACAGTTCAACATTAGATCGATCACTATTGGCTATAATATATTACTGTTTTTGCGAACTGTTGAGAATTTCGTCGTCACTTGAGTAATTTCTTTATGACTGTCTTTCTTATAGCTTCACTCCGTATGACAAATGAAACGAATTTACAGATAGGTGAAAATGTGTGGTTGAAGTAAGTATATACAAGCAGTAAAATTTACAAAGAAAACCATAAAAGTGCATAATCAACTTTCAACCTTCACTTAGAAAATCTGGCGGTTTTGCTCAACAAAGTGAAAATGAAAAAAGTTCTTTTTTGGTGCAAAATACAAAGCAAAATTATGAAGTTTCTTCAACAATTTTCAAGGAGATATATGAAAAAAATTATTTACCAAAAATCTGGCGCTTATAACAGTGAGCAACTTTTTGCAGACGATTACAATTTAGCAACAAATATTCAAATGAGATTTTTAACAAAATCAAAAGGGTATTAATATTGATGGGAAGTATTAAGGTGATCAAAGCGCTAGGCGGACGGCAAACGTCATCATAAAGCTTCTTAATTATCAACAATGCAGTAGCAACCAAAAAAAAAAAAAAAGAAGAGATCAATAAGATTTTGCAATGAATGGCGTTTAATTAAACCTGATTCAAAGTAGGAAAAAAAAAGAAAAACAGAATAGAAAGGAATATCTCGTTACATAATACTCTTTAAATGTCACTTGAAACATGCAAAGATAATGAATCATCTGGAATACAAGGTGCATAGAGTGTGCTCAGAAGAAAATTTGAGATATAAGACCTGAAGAGAGAAAAATCAAGTAAAAAGTTATAAAGTCTCTCGCACAAAAAAAAGAAGATGAAAAACAATATTGAATTTAGCACGGTTTGACCATAACTTTTTAGTTCCTAGAAATTTAAATTCATATTTGTAACTCCTTGTTCAGGTTTTCCCTTATTTGCTATCCTTATCAATCACACATGTATGAAACTTCTTTCTATATTCCTTCTGTATACTCCTCCTAATACAAACGACAACATTAGGTTCAGTTAAGGCTGCTGCATGTAATATTGTCAACTGAGTCATTAATAAGATAAAAAACGTACACCGCTTGAAAAAATAATCAAGCTAACTGTTAGCTACAATTATAGCTGGATTGTTGAGAATAATGACTAAAATAACAAGTCGCTTGCTGTTTGCTTTTCACCTGCTTTGATATCCTGCAGTCGCAGCTTGACTCAGCATTCGTATGTTATTGCCACCTTCGGAACTCAAAATTGTCATTGATTGTGATGATAAACATTTCTATATAAAATTTATAATTAGGCGTCAGACGTTTTTTATATGCGTGTTTTGTCACAAAATTTTATCGTAGAGCAAGTTTCGCTTAGAAGTAAAACCTTGAAAAAAAAAAAAACAAAAAAAAAGAATAATTAAGTGATAACTACCTCATACTCAGACTTAAAAAACCTTTCTGCTTGTCTATACAACAAAAATACATTTGTTTTTTTGATTGCGAAAAGAAGACAAAAAAATGCTAGGCTGCTGGGTAAAATACTATTTGTTTAAAACAGAACCATATGCAAACTTCGAATCGTCAGCTTAGGCTAACTTTAAAACAAAAATAGTGTTAGTTTACTAAAAAATAAATAGAGAAGAAAATTTTACTTGATTATAGGTTGGATAACACTGTGCACTGATTGACTAGGTCATAAGTTGATAAATCAGACGACGCTGAACACTTTTAAAAGAGCTGCGCAACAGCATTGTTCAAAATTCATCAAAAAAGATGTGGACTGGAAAAAGGAATTTGAATTGTTAACTGTACGGTAAGTTTATTAGTCTAAAATTTCATAAGGGTTGACTACAAATTACTTATGACAAAAAAGTATAGCAAAAGCACTTTGCTACGAGCCTTGAATTTCATGCAGCTTTGCTTCGGCTCGTACTTATTAATTGCTTTACTTAATTTGATTAATGCAAAAAGCATTTATAGCTTAAATGAGTGTAACAAAAATTAAAAACCAAAAAGTTTTTGAAACGAGGAATTCAACCGATTGACCAAAGCAATGGTTTTGTTTAGTCACCCGATAAGCGCTAGGGCAACGAATTTCGAATGCATTTCTTGTTTTAATTCTATAAAAATAGATTCGGTTTTTCAATTTACTCACTTTATGATATACGGTAACAATTTCGAAAGGTGAAGTAAGCAACAAATTTCAAATGCATTTCAATGGCAGAGATCATTCGTTGCTTACTCTACGTTTTGAAATTGTTACTGTTTATGGCATAAAGTGTGTAAATTGAAATACTGAATCTATTTTAATAAATCTAAAACAAGAAAAGAACCTCAGTGTCATTCAAAACTAGTTAATTGCTTTAATAGTGCATTCTTTTCAGTTTACGTCTAATTCCTTTGCTGCCACAAATTAAGTTGTTTACTGCTACAAATATCTGTTATCTATTGAATTCCTAAGCTAATGATTAAATTTGTTCTTCTGCCGAAAATATTAACTACCTGTTTAAAACCTTTCCTTGGAAAATTTTTAAAAATAAGAGGCTAATCAGCAATCTGTTTAATTTATACGTACTTAAGTGTATTTCTGACTGCTAACAAAAAACAAAAAACAACCGGCATCTTTAAGCTGTTGCAAATTTCTGCTGGAAAAAATTATCAAAGTATTCGCTGCATACTTTGATCTTTTTTATTTCAGGTAAGATGCTTTCAGTTGTGGCAAGTTAGCTTGTGATTCAAAAAGCCGTAACAAAAACTGCATAGAAAGGAGTGTTGCAAGGCAAATAACACTAATACTTTCTTTTTTTCTTCTTTCAAAAAGTGAAATTAAAGACGACTGATTTTACTGATACAGTTCCTGGTTGTTCCATTTAGCTCGCCGTTATTATACTGGTGGTCCTAAACAGTTTGACCACATACTTACCATATGCTTATATCTACTCTGTTTTTGAGTGGTGCTGTGCAAGAAATACACCTTTTAATCAGACAGTGTACCGTTAGAAATGGTATAAGACACATAAATCCTGTCGGAAGCATGAATTCAAAAGCAAAAGTAAAGTATATATTTAATCCTATATTTGTTAATATTTAAAACTGCTAAAGAAGTATTTGATTAGTAGAACCTTTTTCAAAAGTAATTTTTCTTCTTATATTTTAATGTAGCAGAACTAAAGGTTTCGAGCACGTTTAACTCAATTTGACAGGCTTGCCTTATTGATCTCTTCAGTATGTTGTACTAAATTTTATTTTTTAGCTTGTTTTGCAATTCTACTTAACGGTGACCAGTCTCGGTACGTGGCAAGCTTCAAAAATGGTTTTTTTAGATGCTATTCTGTTGAAATAAATAAATAAATAGCTAGGTGATACTGCTATCTTTAAATGTGCGTTCATAATTATCTGTCAGTAGAAGAATCGTTTTCACAAAATTTTAGTTATTATACTTGATTTTTCAAAAAACAAGAAACGCAGATTCGACTAACAATGAAAGTTACACAAACCAAAAAATTAATGAATGAGGTCATATCTGATAGTTCATATTTTACACTGCTCGTTAACAGTCTCCAGAACAAAAAAAAAATTGGGTGCTAAGAAACCAGAAGATTATCTGGTAAAATACATCATCAGCTTAGTGTCGCAAGAAAGCAAAAATGACAGAAGGTGCGAATAGTAAATAGCACTGCGGCTACAATTATTTCTTTTTTCTGCTCCTTTTTGTGAAATACAAGTATCTGGCAAATTGTACTTTATAGAACACTTTAAGAAACAGAAACTGTTAACACCTAACAAACGATGGCTGTACTCCTTGTTGGTTCGTTATAGTTAGTTCAGCAACGTGCGTTCATAATTATCTGTCAAAGCTTTTTTTGTCATAATCGTTACAATGCGTTGCCAATTTTTTTCTGCAAAAATTACTAATAACGTAAGGTTTTTCTTTAATTAATTTTTTCTTTTCTTTTTTTTTTTTTTACTGTATTTCTAGATTTCATAAGGTTGTAAAGGTTTATGTAAACACTGGATAGTGAATTTCTGAGTAACCTTTAGTTTACTCGGCAATTAGACTTTGCAATTTTTTTGAGAACAACAGAGCCGTAACAAAATCTACAATCTTTCGTCAATCAAAAGCTCTTTTCAGGATATAAACTAGAGTTTACTGGTGAAATACTAAACCTACATAAAGTAGGGAGCATTTTAACGGCAGTTGAACTTCAGCTGGTAAAGTTTAGCTTCTACTTGTTATTTTGGACTTCATCGACTATGGTAATGAAAAAACTATTTTTTTAGATGACATACTGTTTCGGGACTGATGATCATTCAATAAAGTTATTTCTTGATACGGCATTTGAAGGTGAGATCGAGGACGTTGAAAAATTATTAGATCAGGGATTCAAGCCAGATCTCGCTGATACTGACTCTACTACGGCACTACAGATTGCTGCAGCGCAAGGGGACTTGGATTTAGTAAGCTTTTCTGGAATACTACATTGAATGAACTAAAGGCAAACGGGATTATCATGCGTTTGCCAGTGTTTTGCACTGATTTTTTTTTGCTCCTTCGCTTAAACGGCAGCAACTGTAACTGCTTGAGAAAGCATGAATATCTAGAGAAAGCATATCTAGAGTTACTGTCTAGTGGATTGCCACAAATTTCTCTGCTTAGTACGAGGATAGGTCCTACAATACAGTATTGTTTTTGTTACATTCTGAAGAAATATATTTGTCAACGGAGAAGGAAAGACATGAGGCTAAATATGTGGACATTTTTTGCCTTTTGTCGCTATATTTAACCTCTTTTTAAGAAAACAATTTTTTTTTTTTGAAATTAAACTTAACATGGAAAAACTTACTTAGCTTGCTTATTGGTTTTTTGATTTTTCTTGGTTTCCGTTCTTTCCTTTTTCTTAGATGCAGTTACTTCTCGGCTACGGAGCGGCCGTCGATAAATGTAATGATATCGGTTTTACTCCGCTGCTGCATGCCTGTCGAAATGGTCACCTAGACGCCGTCGAGTTGTTGCTTGAGTATGGAGCTGATTCGCGGCGATGCACGTGAGCGGTGATTCCATATCCTTGCTGAGACTGTTTTCGTATGAAAATTAGAACAGTTTTAAATCACCAAGTGTTCTGAAACTTTTCTATAATGCTGAGTTTAGCCAAAATGTTTTGAGCTGTTGCAGCTTTTAAACGAATTCATTCGTTGTCTAAAAACACATTTAGGTTTTACGGAGCAAACGCAATGACATTAGCTGCAGCTGGCGGTCACATTGAGGTCGTACTTCGTTTGCAGGGTGTTTGTAACATGCCGCAAAGGTTATCACCTTCGCCGCTTGTAGCCGCAGTGGCAAGACGACACTTTGATTTGGTTGCTTTTTTCAAATTACTGAGGTAAACTAATGTACCGTACATGTGTATTAAACTTCGCGTTACGATTAAGCAGGAACAAAGGCGTAACAAGATCGTTGTTTTCGTTTTAATCCGCGTTTAATCTTAAATTTGAATTTTAAATCTTTAGGGGTCCACCGTTGTGGTATAAGCGCAGTGCTCTTTATGGTCTCGACGCACAATCAACTGCTAGGATTCTAGCGGATCGACAAATGACCGAATTCCTGTCTGATTTGGATCAGTTTATTAAAAACTCAGAAAAAAATGGCTCAAAAGAGATAGGTAGACTTGTTATTTGAAGTTAACGCAATGTATGGTTGTTGGAATAAAACATGTAGACTGAAGCTTCTAGACCGATTATTACCTGATATCAGGTGTATGATACATCAACGGAAAGTGCGAGGACTTCAGTCACTGCTAAATTCTGGTCGAGAATTTGTTCCCTTGCCTAGCGGTACTACACCACTAATGTTTGCTGCTGTAGTTGGAGACCTAAGGATGGTAAGATTTACTTGAAAAAAAATTGGAAAATCTAACTATATAATAGTGAGTTTGAAATAATAGTTGCAGTTTACAGGTGAGGATGCTTGTTGAAAGTGGCGCTGACACTAATGTTTCTGTTGCTGGTTTCACTCCCTTAACG